TGTACAGTTGTGTTAAATTTATTAATCTGCTCTGGAAGCATTTGAGAGAAGTTCCTAAATAAATCCTTGAGCTTCTGTTAAAGCAGAAGATGTTATTAGCAGGAAAAAAAATATAAATATATCCAGATTTGACATCACTGTTCCACAGATGAAAGGAGATAAGAGAGACATCCCTGTTTCAAATCCAAGGTATTAAGTTATAAATTCACATTGTTGTCTTAACTGGGTACCAGTTCTAACAAGATTTTCAGGGGATTTCAAAAAAATATAGCATCTTAGATTGCATCATGAGGTTTTGCTGATTCCAAATGGAATAGTCAATAATGGAGGATCCTGCTGAAGGACAGCTGGGCATGACATCGTGAAGGAGCAGAAAGAGACAAAGAAGTGATTCCTTGACAGCTGCTCAGAGTCTGCTGCTGGTGATGTCTTGGAGGGTTCATGGTGCAGCTTTATTATTTGTTTGCAATTTAGGCAGAATTGTGGATGTTATCGTTGGTGTGTTAAGGTCTGAATAAAAATCTTGTGTGATCACTGGCTTCCCTGTGTTTGACTGGGAAGGAGGAATGCCTCTTAAGACACAAAGGAAATAAAAGGCTTCATTACACCTCCTCACACTGTCTAGAAACCTGAGCTCCAGCCTGCTCTGTCCTGTTGGCCTTTCTGTCTCAAGGGGCTTTGGAGGACCTGTGTAGTGGTTTAAGTTAGGACTGCAGACTTTAGTAATTAAAGAGCATTTCAGACAAAGCCCAGAGCTGCTGCTCTCTCTTCCTCACTGTAAAACCCTCAGACATGAGAAAAATGCATTGCTGCTGTGGGTCACGAGCCAAACAGAGGAGCAGCAATAAGGTCTACATTGTTCTTAACATTTTCTCAGGAAGTATTTTATTGCTGCTGTTATTACTAGAAAGCAAATGGGAATTAAAACAATCTCTGTTGAGCTTTTGCAATCATCCAAAGTATGTTGATTGGAGAAGCTTCAAATATGATAAAGAAATAATGTAGATCTCTTCTGTACTGTCTGTGAAGTGGAAGATAAGCCTGAGGAAATACAGAACAGATCGTAATATTACCATAAATAAAAGCCATAAGAGAAAAGGGTGAATAAACTCTACAGTAGTTACAGGACATGAGTTTTTTCCCTCCAGGCCAAGCAAGGCAGAATTTTTGACATTAAAGTTTTCTTTAGATTTCCTATTTATAGTACAGGACAATTTGAAGAGGAAAATTTATGGTGCAAGAATGACTTGAAAACCTGGGAATTATTGTTTGTTTTCTGAATATTCTTTTTCTACTCGTTTTTTCATGAAAGGAGGCTATCATCCAGTGAAAATTGGTGATCTTTTCAATGGCCGGTATCATGTTATTAGAAAGTTAGGATGGGGACACTTCTCTACAGTCTGGCTATGCTGGGATATGCAGTAAGAAAACTATTTATTTCCATATGCTTTTTTTCTTAAAATGTTACTTTATTTTGTCTGCAGTAACTTTTGTTTTATGTGCATGGTAAAGTTATGTAAATGTTTGCTATCATTTTATGCAGACAGATGACTACAGTCATACTTTGATTAACAGTATAATTTATGAAAGCTCTCAGAATAAAAATAATTCTGTTTTCTTTGACAAATTAGCTTTGCTTATTGAATTCTCATGTCTTGAACATGCGAGAATAAGCTAATGTTTTTATTTCTGTTGTATCTTTAATAAAAAAATATACCATGATTAAATGATAAAATGTGTAATCACATTCCTCTTTTAAAGACATTAGCACCAAGGCAACAAAATATGCAATAAATTAGGCTTTTAATAATACTGTTAAAAGTTCTTCTAAAGTGTAATTTCAGTATTTTCTGTCAGAATACACTAGACAATGAAGTATTCTATTTAAAATTTCCCACCTTTAAAGCATGTTGGCTCTGAGCATGTGTTAAAAATGTTTCTGTTCTTTTTAAGGGGAAAAAGGTTTGTTGCAATGAAAGTTGTAAAAAGTGCCCAGCATTATACAGAGACAGCCTTGGATGAAATAAAGTTGCTCAAATGTGTAAGTACCACTCTTGCAATACAGTATTCAGTACCAGTACTACTAATAATAATGAATCTAACTAATTAGTATTTTAAAGTGAATTTTTTCCTAAAATGTCAGTGTTTGCATTATTGGTTTAGGTTCGTGAAAGTGACCCTAATGACCCCAACAAGGACATGGTTGTACAGCTAATTGATGACTTCAAAATTTCTGGAATGAATGGAATTCGTATCCTTTTGAAAACGTGGCATCTTCCTTAAAAATGGTCTATTGAGATAAGTAAGCATTTAGCTCTGGATTTTTTCTAGTTAGTCGTACTTGAAATATGTAAAGTAGAAACACCAAAATATAAGCAGATGCAAAGAGTAGTCCAGTGTGTAATGTACTCCCTGCAGTGGAAGTAGCTTAGCTTTTCTAAATACAGTGCAAAATTTAAAAACAAACAAACAAACAAACAAATCACGAGTCCTGTCATGGTGTGGTAGAACTACAAGATAGTTTGCTTTAAAACTAGAGTTTTAATGAAAACATTTGTAGTAACTGCAGCTTACAAGAAATATTGTTTTGTTCTGGACTGGTAAAGAGAAAGTGTCATTGTCATGAAGAAGCTGGTTTCTGTTTTCTTGTGAGAAGTGTGAAGATATGGAAGTTCTTGTCTTGTTCATGTGATCATCTTTAACCTTGTTTTTGGCAAAGGTTGTAAAGCTTTACCTACAAATGCTTTCTTTAAAAAAAAAAGGGGAGGTGGGGACAGGGAAAAGGAGAGAGACAAAGTAAAATATGACTGAATATTGTTCTTGGGGAAAATTTTGGGTCTGTGAATAGATTTGATTTTAGAATTGAGCTAAACTGAGTTATCCTTGCTAATTACATATTTTAGCAATTTATTATATTACTGTGCTTTCATTTACTGTTATAGCTGGTATTTATGTGCATGCTTGTTGAGTTTTGGAGCCCTAATAGCAGACTTCACCATTTCTGGTGTCATACCACCAGACAGAGACAGTTCTTCCTCTAGAGAGCTTCATCCGGCATTTTGGTCATGTGCCTTCAATCTTCAGCAGATCAGATTAGGGTGACTTTCACCAGCTCTCATCTTCCAGGATAGGAATGTAGGTGACTTGTCAGTAAATCTGAATACTCACTAGAAAGCATCCTTCCAGAGAAAAGTGTGCAGCAGCTTTCATCTCATTCATCTGTCTCTTGACATTAGTTATGGGGTCTTTGTGTATGTGGTGAGTGAGAATGAGAGTGTGGGATCAGCTATTCTCAGTTATAGACTGGCGTCTTAACTTCTTTTCCATTTTCCTATTTTAATTTGTTCTGTAGTTGCTTCAGTGGTCAGATACCATGGTAGAAAGTGAACTTAGTATAGTCAGCTTTTGTCCCCTGGGTTTTATCATCAAATTAGAAAGAATTAAAATAAACCATACAGTTGCTAGTAGTCATTTCAAACTGAATATAAATGGTGATCAAAGAAATTGGTTAACACAGTGAGGCAAAGAACCCAGGGTTGGGTTTCTTGATGCTGCTGTTATGCTACCAAAAAATAGGTTTAATTTATGAATTTAGATGCTTATGAAGAAGTATTTTATAAATACCTGTATTTTGTCTAACTGTTCACAAAAAATAATGTGGCCAGAACACTTCAGGTCTTCAGCTGACAGCTGTACAATTGAAGAATAATTAAAGTTATTTTTAGAAATCAAAAATTTCAATTTATTGTTTTTATTGTAAAACACTAATATGAAATAGAGAATGAGAAAATGCATTCATAACTATACACAAAAACAACTCAGGTTTACCTGTTTATCAGAGGAGTTTCTCAGTAATGTTCTTAAATTCTTGCTAAGATTCATATGTGTATGTACAACTGTATTAAAGGTGAGAACCATTTCTAAGTGTGAAGAGTAGATTTTGTTAGTGATAATATTTTGAGAGCATATCCAAACTTGTGTCTTTTTGAAATATAGCACACTGACAAAGCCAAAAAGGATCATGTGCTAAGGGTTCAGGTAGCTTTGTATTAGCAGGTTAAAATTGGACACCTGATGTTGATTTATTCTATTACAGTTTTTGTGTTGAAAACTCTGGCAGTATAGAAGTTTTATTGTGGAAGGCAAATGCTCTTGCCTAGCTGAGAAGTAGATTTTCCAGGAAAGTACCAGTGCACAGGATGGGCTGATACTGGACTCAAATTTGAATTGCAGCTATCTGAAGTCTGTCAGTGACTGCCAGTGAAAATAGGATACCAGGTATCTTGTGCATCCTGAGTTATTTGAGCCATGGTTGGTTGCACTGATTATTTAATCAACTCCTTTTTATCTTCTAGGGAAAATAATCTTTGGTGCATGTTCTCTTGGGAGGGAGCAGGTAATTGATTTTAATGTTTTGCTGCTGTTAACATTTTTAAAATGCCATGTTAGTGCTACATTAGTGTCATTGAGTTGAACAGGTTGAGAGAAACAGAGTAATTTAGGATTTTTTCCATGGTCTGCTGTTTCCGACTTCCTTTGGGCAAGTCACTAAAGATCTGTTCCTTGACTATAAATTAAAACAACATATGCTTCTTAGAGGCTTCATGATTGGTTATGGATTACATTTAAAAGTTAAAGCAAGACAGAAGAGTGGTGGGTGAATCCTTTGGATGGCTAATACCATGAAATGTCATGGAGCTTCCAAAGAGGGAAAATTGTCAAGAACTGTGTAGAACAGAGCTGGGAATGTGCAGAGCCATTGGCCTGCACTGTGTATCTGCAAACAGTCATCTTTCTTCTAGGAGCTGCAATAAGTGTTTATATACAGAGGAATTTTAATAATGTGTGTTATGCTCTGTTAGACCGAAAATTTTTTAGTTACTTGTATACTTTAAAAAGATGGCAGTTATGATTTTTTCATGAAATGACAGAATTCCAGAACTTGGCACTTTGGTGTTTTCAGTAAGTGTAGAATAATATGTTTGTTTGCTCTGGATATTTATTAGAACCTTAATAAAGGTTCATCTGAGTGTAGCAGTTTTTTAAGGAAAGATTCAGATGATCACATAATGGAACAAGAGTTTGGAGAGACAAAGGAAACAGTAAGGAAGGAAACATTCCCACACAATCAGACATTATAATGATTGTAATAAATGTACCTCCAAAGAGTATACAACATCAATTAAATGCCGTGGCATCTAAACTTTCCCCATCCAGAAGCAGCTGAAATACCTCCTGAAGCCTTTCTGTGTTGGTACTAGACCCTTATTTCATTTAGCTTAACTATCCTTTAACCCTCACCTAAATGCTCTAGTAATGTGTGTTTTGAGTCAAGAAGGAACAGCTCTCAGTACTTAAGCCTGTCAGCTGGTTAATGTTAAGTTTGCTCTCACTTTTGCTGCTTTGCTTTGTTTCCCCCTTTCAGACATCCCCCCATGCTGCTTTGAAGAGCATTCCACAAGAGGCTTGTCCACAGGGTGGGTTTATTTTGGACTTTTTGGACCTACTCACCTGTTGGGATGTTGATGCTGTAGGAAGATCCGGGGGCTTGCAAGGCTGGTTACCTAATAGTTAGTGCATAGCTTTTCCCAGACTCTTGGTTGGGGACAGTCTGGCTTACAGCTGATGTTTTTAGACCAGGATAGTAAATCAGACAACAGTCACATTTTCACATGCCTGCTCCCAACACTGAGCCTGCTCTGTGTCTTTTCCCCATTTCAGTTGTCTCTCCAGTACTGAGTGTGCCTTGACTTTGTCAGAGTCCTCCCAGCAAAATGTTGCAATCTTTTCTCAAGTAGACATCACTTTTCTTTCTTGTGACCCTTGCTCTTTTTGTCTGCCTCTGCCATTTCTCTTACATCTTACTTCTTGGTGCCCTACCATTTCAGTCATTCACTTCTCTACCCCCCCTTTTTCTTCTGGTTACTGGCAAGGCTTAACACTTCAGTAAGCATAAGGAACGGCAGGAATGTGCGCTGAGGAGTCTGCAGCAGCAGTGGTCTGAAGTACTGTGGGTGGGTGTCCTAAATTTCATTTCTGAATGTTGCAGCGTCTTGCCTTTATGAAATCTGTGTTGCTGTAGCTTTGCCACTTCCCTGCGTGGGCTCAGTTAATAAGCCCTGCAGAGCTGATGTGCTCTGCTCATCCTTTATGAAGGCTGGGTGCTCTGCTAGTGACTGCTGTTCATTGTGGGGTACAGTAACCAAGACTGTTTCCTCTTCTGAGTGAACAGAGTTTTTGTGATGTTCTAAGTGGTCCTGATTGGTGTGACTGGGAAATGACTGTTCTCCTCTAATACAGGAATTCAGGAACATGAAGTGAGATGAAGTTAGCAGCAATTTCATTGCAGTTCTTCACAAGGTGCTTTGACCTTGAGTCTTGAGACCTTTTACCTGTGGTCTAATATCACTATAGGAAATGTGGATTTTAAAATTTGACTTACCTGACAAGGTAAGTCTCATTTTGACACAAGTTAAGATGGTGACTCAAGATCATTGCCAAGACTCCAGTTAATAAAACGTAGAGAAGTTAGGTAAGATTTTTCCACTAACAGTGTAGTTCCATATGAATGATCTCTGAAATAGTTCAGCTTAATTCGTTGAGCTTTTCCTGCAGTATTAATTAATTAATTTTCTGTTATTTTTATTACATTATTCTTTGCAAGGTTATAGTACCGTATAGTTAAGATTTTAGCATCCTTTCCAATTTCCAGGGACATTAAGGTCATTCCCAGTTCATGTCTGAGGATTAATTCTGTATGGTCAAACTGTATAACTTCTTGCCAGAGTGTTGTGGTTGGTAAAAATAGAATCAGCTTTAATATCTGAAGATTTTCTCAATAGAAGGATAATCTACCCAGGTATATAAGTGTAGAATTGCTTAACTTAGGAACCCTTTGAACCACAAATTACAGGAAGTTCCTGTACCTTGTTTTTTTCCTGATAATCTTCCCTAGTAATCTCATGTTTGCCTCTGTCAGTGGCCAATAGTAAATGCTGAGTCACATTAAACTTTTGGGCTTTGTAGGTTGTAAGAGACCCGTTCTCTTACTACTCTGGTATTTGTTGTCAAGTGATTCTTAATTGAGCCTAATAAAGATTTTTAGTATGGTTCATTTTCTAAAACACTGTTGTTGCACACTTCTGTTATTAAAACCTCCTATGCAGATAATTTAAAATTTATTAGAAACTAGAGATATTAGGCCAAATCAGTACTTTTAAGTGTTTCAAAGAGAACAAAAATTAATTAGTTAGTTTTTACAGTTACTTATTTAATTGTTCATCCTAGTGCCATTGTTAACTTGTAGAAATAATCGACAAGATTTGCATAATTAAAATGTTTTATTTTAATTTGTTCTGCAGTTGGGCACTGGTTTTGTATGTGTTTATATATAATTGAGACAAGGTACCAAAGCATATACCATGTTCTGCTCACTTTAGGGGGGACTGTTTTCCCTCTAAAGGGGTAACGATTGCTGTAGCCAGTACACAAACAAATGCTTGTGTTGATCTCATCAACGAATTTATTTGGAAATTATCCTTAGTTGAATCTCAGATGTCTGTATGGTCTTTGAAGTACTTGGACATCATCTTCTAAAATGGATAATCAAGTCCAACTATCAAGGCCTCCCTATCCGTTGTGTAAAAAGTATAATTCGACAGGTAAGATTTGTTAATAATCAGGTTTATTTAATAATTAGGTTTACTTATTTAATTTAATTAGTTTTTCCCACCATGGTTAAGTTTGAAAGCTAGAATTATGTTATTAGAACTGAACTCTTACTAATTAATATCTAAGGTAAGATAATTTTATTGGTAATCTCAGGGGTTTGCAAGAGCATCGTTCTGGGTAGCCTGCACTTCTGCATGCTGGTGGGTTTTTGGGGAGTTGTGTTTTTTTAATCAAGGTTTTCCACTGATAAAGGAGTTTCCTGAGCTGCTTTAGAAAATAAAAAGTTGAAACAATGAGTCTTTCTTCATGGATGTAAGGATATTTATATTAAATTGCAGTTTTGGTTGACATGGTATGCTTTTTAAATATATCATCAGAACTGTGGGAAATAATACATGATGATGAGGAGGAGGATGATGAAGAAAAATTTTATCTCTCTGAAAAATAGACTATAAATGAAAATAACCTGTTTTCTGAAAAATTGCTTTCTGTCTGTATTTAAGTTTTTTAGAGTCAGAGTTTTAAAAAGGTGAAAACACTTCAGATCATTTCATTAGGAAGTGTTCTTTCAAAATATGTTCTTTTGCTAAGCTGTGAAAATCAAGTTGCTGAGAGGTGACTGTAAGGAGAAGTAGTGTTTCAGCAAGGAAAAAAGCATGTATGATAGAGTCATCTAGGGTGGAAAAGACCTTGAAGATCATTGATTCCAACTGTTAACCCCACACTGCCAAGTCCACAACTAAACCATGTGCTCAAGTGCCACATCTACACATCTTTTAAATACCTCCAGGAATGGTGACTCCACCACTTTGCTGGGCAGCCTGTTCCAAGGCTTGACAACCCTTTCAGCGAAGAAATTTTTCCTAATATCTAATCTGAACTTCCCCTGGCTCAAATCAAGGACATTTCCTCTGGTCTTGTTGCCTCTTACCTGGGAGAAGAGACTGACCCTCACCTGCTTACAACCCCCTTTCAGGGAGTTACAGAGTCCCCCCTCAGCCTCCTTTTTTTACAGATTTCACCTCCTTCAGCTGCTCCTCAGCACACTTGTGCTTCAGACCCTTCATCAGCTCCACTGCCCTTCTCTGGACATGCTTCAGCGCTTCAGAGCCTTTCTTCTAGTGAGGGGCCCAAACTGGACGCAGTAGTTCAGGCGTGGCCTCACCAGTGCCAAGTACAGAGGGACAATCAGTGCCCTGGTCCAGCTGGCCACACTATTGCTGGTACAGGCCAGGATGCCTTTGGCCATCTTGCACACACTGCTGGCTCCTGTTCAGCCGTCTGTCGACCAGCACAGCCAGGTGCTTTCCCTCTGGGCAGCTTTCCAGCCACCCTGCCCCCAGCCTGTAGCACTGCAAGAGGTGGTTGTGACTGAAGTGCAGGACCCAGCGCTTGGCCTTGTTGAACCTCACACAAGTGACCTTGGCCCATTGATCCAGCCTGTCCAGGTCCCTCTGCAGAGCCTTCCTACCCTCCAGCAGATCAGCACGCTCCCCCAGCTTGGTGTCATCTGCAGACTGCCTGAGGGTGCACTCAATCCCCTCATCCAGGTCGTTGATAAAGATATTAAACAGGACTGGCCCAACACTGAACCCTGGCAAACACCACTGGTGCCAGCCATCGGCTGGATGTAAATCCATCCACCACCACTCTCAGGGCCCAGCCATCCATCCAGGGTTTTACTCAGGAAGCAGTGCACCCCTCCAAGCCAAAGAGCCCAGTACCCTTTGGTGAGTCCCATGTGGCCTCAGAGACCTGTGTGTGTCTAAGGGATGTAGCAGATCACTGACCATTTCCCCTTGGATTATGGGGGCTGCCTGTACCTGTGTCCCAGCTGAGGGGGCTGGATCCCCAGAGAACAATTGATCTGACTATTGAAGGACAAGGCGAAGAAAGCATGAAGTACCTCGGCCTTTTCCTCATCCATTGCCACTGTGTTTTCCCTCTGCATCCCAAAAAGGATGGAGATTCTCCTTAACCCTCCTTTGTGAGCTTAAATGCTTAAATCTACTGTAGGATGGGCCAGGGTCAGAGAGGAGTCCAACAAGGGTGACATCCTGGTACGTATCCCCTACAGGCTGCCAATTTCAGAAGTAGCATGTTTAGACAACTGGAATAAGCTAGTTCTTTTGGGGGACTTTTAACCACCTTGATGTCTGCTCTGTGGGGTACATGCACTCAAGGGAGTTTCTGGACTGTGTGGAGGACAACTTTGTAGCATGGGATGAGCTGCATATCAGCAAGGAAACAAGCTGGAGATGCACCTTGCTGGACTGGTTATGAACAGAAAAAAGCAGTTGAAAATGTGAAGGTTGATGTCAAGCTTGGCATGAGGGGTTGTGGCAGACAAGCTGAATGTGAGCCAGTGGTGGGCTCCTGTGATGGCCAGAGCTAACCATGGAGTAGGCCAAATTGGCAGGAGTGTAGGCAGCAGAATAAGGAATCTATTTCAGTTCTTTAGGACTGTACAGTTTTGGGTTCCAAGTGTAAGACATTGGCTTAATGAAGTGAGTTTAGTGAAAGGCAGCAAAGAGAGCGAGCAGCATATGATGAATAAAAGGTGTTGGGAGAACTGGTTTGGTTGGTTTCAAGAAGAAAAGGCTATTAAAGGGGGAAGGTTTTCATATCCTCAGCGCAGATAGAGAAAATGGAGCCAAACTTCTCTTGTCAATGCACAGAGGTAAGACAAGAAGCAGCGTATATGAGTTACAGAAAGAGAAATTCTTTGTAGAGAGGGTAGTCAGGCATTGGAACAGGCTGTCTATGGTATTTAGCATTCTGCATTTGAGGAGGTAGTTGGAAATTAACTGGATAAAGACTCTGAGCAGGCTCATCCGATTTTGAGGTTAAATACAATTTTGGATCTGTATGACTTAAATGGTGAGGGTTTGAATCACACAGTCTTCCAACTTGAATTGCTCTGTGAATGCAAGAAAAGGTAAAAGTTCCAAGTAATTCAGTCACTTCATACCTGAGAAAAGAGGAACAGCTTAGTCCTGGGAGATTAAAAAACTTCAGTTTTTGTAAGACTGGAATTAATAGTTTGGACTAGTGAGAGTGGCAATGTCTGGTAAGGCTTCCAGGTTGTTCATGTCAGTGAAGATAATCTAGATCCTTATTCTTTCTTCTGCTTGAACAAAACGTGTTCTACGCGTGTTCTGAAAACTGATTTATGAAAGTTGGATATGAAACAATTCAGTTACTGCACTGATGTTACTGTGCATCAAACAGTTTTGTTTCAGAAAGTTATATAATTCTGTGGTACAATGGAAAATTGTGGGTTTACATTATGATTTGGAAATATCTCTTTTCCAATTTTTGAGTACTTTTGAGCATTAGGATAAAACTTGCTTAATTTTAAAATGACTATGAGAGTTGAGTTTATTAATAAGAAATTTAATTGCAGTTTCAAGCAGCTTCTTTAAAAATGCTTTTGTAATTAGGTACTTCAAGGTCTAGATTACCTCCACAGCAAGTGCAAGATCATTCATACGGATATAAAGCCAGAAAATATTTTGATGTGTGTGGATGATGCCTACGTGCGCAGAATGGCTGCTGAGGCAACCGAGTGGCAGAAAGCTGGTGCTCCTCCCCCCTCTGGCTCAGCAGGTAAGACAGTGCATTTAAATGCAGTGTAGTAAAGTTCCATCAGTATATTACTGCTAACAGTGTTTTGTTCAGTGAAAATTAACTTTTTAAGTAATGGCGTGAGAAAATTCAATGTCTAGTTGATTCTTTTTCCTGCTCTGGGAACTGTCATAGAAATGTTTTCTTCCTGGTTTTGCATGTTCAAATTCTCAGGGTCCCCAGATAACAGAAGATTTATTGGTATAAACTTACTCTCATCCTACCTCACACGCTTTAATGCCTGGGTTTTAGTCACACTGGAAGCTTGCATCTCTAATATTGACAATAATTAGTAATCTTATCTAATTTATGTCTAGTTCCATTACAAGTTCATCAGCATCCTTGTTGAAATTATCTGCCTTCTTGTCAGTTATAGCTGATTCTCGAGATGCAACAAAAAGTTTTAGATTCGTAGCTTTTCACCCTTGAAAATGGACTGTATTGCACTGACTGAACCTGCAATATGCCCTCCTTCCTAGGGTGTAAAATGCTCCATGTTGAACTTGCCAAGAGTTTGGATAGGAGCTGTACATTATGTTTAGCCAGGAGAAACCAAGGTGAAGAGGTTCACAGCAATCAGTAAAGATTAACAGGGAGGAAATATGGCTTTTCTAGTGATCTTCGGTACTATGGTTGCTATTAATTTGCCAGTTGAGCACATCAGTTTTAGGCAGTGGAGAAATAAGTACCTCTGCAATATGTCAGAAAATATGTCAGAGATTAAAATCTCTGAGGTATAATAAAAATGCCTGCTGTATCAGGGACAAATACAGTGGTTAGAATCCGTTTCACAGCATTATATATTTTTAGATGCAAAATCTTTTAAATTGTGAGTATATTGTATTGAATTTTACATGATGTGTAATCACGGCTAAAGATGATATGTTACTGGTGCAGGAAGTAACTTGATTTTGTTCATGCAGCCTTTATATCTCTTCCTGACATTAAAATAAGTAGTATTTTAAGGAATAGGCTGATGGTGTTCTTATCACACTTTGTTCTTATCAAATTGTAATTAAATAGATGGCTTTCCACACAGGAGCTGAAGATGTGTTTTCTTGACAGCATTTCCAAGAATAGGTTCTGCATAATTTCTCTTTTTATAGCAGTGATAGTGCTCAGCTTTTTAAGAATATTTTTGAAAACCTTGCCCTTTCAGGGACATACAAGCAGGTTTTTCCCTGAATTTACCTCAGGATCTGAACCTGTAAAACAACTCTGTCTCTGTGTTTTATTTTGTGTTTGTTAATTGCTGGATGCCTGTTGCCTGAAGAAGTTCATGAGAGGTTCTCCTGCCCTGTTTACTTTCTCTTTCTCACTTCCCCTTTGCTTCTGTCTCCCATATTAGGTTATTTCCACTGTTTTTGGCTATTGGTGGGAGGGTTTATGTGGCTTGTATTGCTGTTTTCACAGTCAGTATTTTAATCTCATCAGACCTAGTCACTGATGGGATCCTTCTCAGAGGTGCTTAGGAAGAGGCCCTGCTGGAGGTGCTTTTTCTGTGATGTTGTACTTTTTGCCTTAGGCACTACTTCTTGCCTCCAGCCCTAGCAATCAAACTGCCTTGTTTCAGAATAAAGGAAACACGAATATTTGGCTTTTCCTGTTGAGTGCATCACAGTTGTATCTTTGCTGATATTCCCTGAACTGTTTGTGTCTGTACCTGCTCAGTCAGCTGACTACATTCATTTAATCTGTGACAACTCTGCAGTCATTTGATGTTTTCTGTCCACTCTTTATAGATTCAGACTTTCCTTTCTGACTTTCATAAACTCCACCAGCCACAACATATTGAACACAAATTGCTCCTAGCTCCTTCCAGTTCCAGGTGCTCTAGTGGAGACATCAAATGGTATCAGGCAACACTTGTAAAGAGTAAAAAAATCGGGTAGCAAAAAAATCACTGCCTTATTTAGTTAAGAATGTTTTTACGTGATTTCTAATATTTTTGCTTTCATTAAAGAGTTGTTTTTGTAAAAATATATCTTTATTTTATTTATAATTTTTTTTTCTTTTTAGTGAGTACAGCTCCACAACAAAAGCCTGTAAGTATTGTTATATAATTCAAATTAACTGTCTTATTTTCTGTGTGTCTGTGGGTATTAATAGCTATTAGACTGTTAGTAGTTTCTGCCTTTTTTAAAAGCTACCTTTGAATAAAGCTTTTATCTTTCAAGGAACATTTTTCTTTTCATGTCTTTGGCCTTACCATTTTTAAGCACAGCGTTTCTCTGATGGAAACTCTCCCAGACATGCAGTTCTATAGCTGTGTCAAAGGAAGTTAAGCACTGCCATTTTCATCTCCTGAGGAATAATCCATTCGTTCAAATCCTGACAAAAATGGGTGCATGCACCAAATATCGTGCATTGCAGATAGCTTAAGGGCATCAAGGCCTTAGAAGAGAGGGAGTTTTATGAGGTTTGAAAGATCTTTTTGCCATATGGATATAGCAAGTAACTAATGGCAATACAGCCGTTCAGAAGTATTTATGGTCAAACCTGCTTTCTGTGTGTACAGAACGTACATGATTTCAATGGCCATACAACATGGATGAAAATTAACAGAACTGTCAAATTAGTTGTCTTGTTTTGACTACCCCTGGCTTCTTTTGAAGATAACAGGATCTACAGATAAACCTTTGAGAAAATAATTACATGAGGATTTCTTGCTGTGATATCTAAACAATGAATGAAAAATGGATCTCTTTTATCAAATAGTAAAAACAGAAGTCATAATTAAGTTAAAATGTAAGAAAGTGTTTCAATTCTCACTTCCTTATTGTTGTACCTGAGTTTTTCAATCCTTATGTTATATAAAATGTAAACTTCATAACGGCCATCTGTTGTTTGTGACTCACATGTTTGGGGCCAGAAGGGAATAATAAAAATGCTTTCCTTTCATAGGGAAATAGCTGAACAACACAGGATTTGTTTAAAATTTTTCACTGTTTTCAGTCTCTTTAGCTTTCATGTGCCTTTTTTCTCAGCATTCTTGTGCTGGTCATTGCCTGCATTGTACAGAGAGAGAAGTTATGTATTAAATTTATATGCAAATAACTAATATGATGGCAGATTATCTTCCACATACAGTATCATATGTTAATCTAGATTGACATTTAAGGTTATTGTGCCTATTTGAGGTTATAGGATGATAGGAATTTTACTGTGGCGTCTTAGATGTATTTTGCTCATGTAGCTAATAAACAATCATGTAAAAACATGATTAGCTATGTAAAATTTTGGTTGCTTTTTGCCTCATATAACCCTAATCATTCCTGATTTGAAGTAAAATGGATCAGTGGTATAATTACTGTATTAGTTACCATCTAGTATTTAAAACAAAAAAAATCATACTGCAATTGAGTTTGGTTTGAGATGCCTTGAGAATAATTGATAAGTTGTTTTTTTTTTTTTAATTATTAATATTTAAGGTTGGAAAAATATCCAAAAACAAAAAGAAAAAGCTGAAGAAAAAACAGAAGAGACAAGCTGAGCTGCTGGAAAAACGCCTGCAGGAAATAGAAGAACTAGAGCGGGAAGCTGAAAGAAAAAAAATAGAAGAAAATGTAACCTCAGCTGTACCATCAAATGAACAAGAAGATGAGTACCACCCAGAGGTGAAACTAAAAACAGCTGATATAGAAGAGGTAGTAGATGAAGAAACTGGAAATGATGATGGTTAGTATTAGCTGCTTTTATTGACCTGGAGTTTTACTGTTTCAGACAGGAGAGTAATTGTGCAGTGTTGCATCTGGTGCCAAGAACAAAATCTTCAAAGTGTCCTAGATCATTAAGTTTAATTTTTTCCTGTAGGTAAAATTGTAACTACAAAGCCTGAAAAGGTAAAGAATAATCAAACCTACTACAGAAGTGAAGAAAACCATCAATAGCAGTCTATAGCTATCAAATACCACAAAAGAACACGTAGAAAATTTGACAGAACACTCAGTTGTCATGGTGCGTTGAGTGGAATAACTGCATATCCTGGCGAAGTAGAAGAAAAATTTGTGTTCTATAACATTAATGTAGTAGTTGGAATCATTGTTGCTTTCCCCTTTTCTTCTTGCATTGCTTGTCTGAATGATCTGCGAGGTAATAATGATTGCAGCTTCTTCGCTGAAATTTCTGAGATGTCTTGTTAAAATTCCTGTTTAGTCATGGTGAGTTGAACCATAATTGTTATGGTCCAGCTCAATTCTGGCTTCCCTCATGTTTTTGTCAGCTCTTCAGTCCTGATAAAGATTTAACTACTGAGACTGTAGTTCGATTTGGTCTGGTTTTGGTCTTCTCTTACTGAGAGTTCCCCTGCTTCTATGATGACTCCCTGATTGACACAGGTTGAGTTGTAGATTTATAAAGCTTACCTTCAAGGTCTCGTACCTCTTCCCTTCATAACATTATTCTTTTCTGAATTGTTTCCTCCTGAACCACTTCCCATTCTCAATTTTTCTAACCGCCTTATTAGTCCTTTCTTTTGCCTTTAACTTAGATTTTAAGGTTGTTGTGTGTTTCAGTGATATTCAGTGTTTCCTTTTATGATATGTCAGAAGTCAAGTAGTTACTGAAGAGTTAAAAATGGTGAATGCCTGATTGGTTTATTGATATATGATCTAATGTGTTGCTCATTGAAATTTTTCAGGTGAAGCAGAAGATCAGGATGAAAAAGAAGACACAGAGAAGGAAAACACTGAAAAGGATGACGATGTTGAGCAGGATCTTGTCAACACTGACTCTACAGACCCTAAGTGGATAGAATCCCCCAAAACAAATGGCCATATTGTGAACGGCCCATTCCTATTGGAACAACAGATTGAAGATGAAGATGAGGAAGAGGAAGAATGTCCAAATGCAGAGGAGTATAATCTTGATGAGCCAAATGCAAAAAGCGATTACTCTTACAGCAGCTCCTATGAACAGTTTAATGGTGAATTGCCAAATGGACGTCATAAAATACCAGAGTCACAGTTCTCCGAGTTTTCAGCTTCAGTGTTCTCTGGGGCTCTAGAGTCTGTAGCTTGTGGTTCTGCTGTTTCTGAAGGATCAACTGTAACAGAAAGAGAGGAGAGCAGCCCATCTCACGACAGGAGCAGAACGGTTTCAGCTTCAAGCACTGGGGATTTGCCAAAAAGTAAGTGTTCATCTCGGTGACTTCTGTCCAGTAGCATGAGCGGGTTACATTAAATTAAGCGGACAAGTGGAATACAAAGGCAGTGGTTCGGTCAGAAAACATTGTTAAAGTGAACTGGGGGATTTTTCTTGCAGAACTGTGATTTATGATTTTTCTCTGCTCTAGAACTTGTTTTTAAATATAGATAAATTGCTGTAGATGAAATATTTGCATTGACAAGTCAGTCTGCACAGGAAAGAGAAAAGGAAATTGATAGTTGCAAGTAAGCATCATTCCCATAGTTTAAAGGTAGAAGGTGATCATGAGATCATGTATCCTGACTTCCTTTTATAACAAGTCAGTAATACACCGTCTGTTAAGCCCAGTAACCTTTATGTTTGGCTTAAAACATTTTTTTCAAAGAAATACTTGCTTTTGATTTGGACAAATGAAATGTTAGAAATCTAGTGTGGCTGAAGTGTATTCTACTGCTTGGTACTCTCAATTGTTTCAGAAGAGTTGTAGCAAGTTTGAATTTGTGTGGCTGCAGCTTCTATCTGTTACTTCTTGTCAGATCTTCTCTCAGGCATATTGAATAATTTTGTAATATGCTGTGTTTTCATTCATTAGAGGTTCTTTCTGTGTCAAACAGTTCCTCTCTTAACCTTTTAAAACTCACCAGGGCATGTTGCCAACCATCAACTCATTATGACTCTTCTGTATTCAGCCTTGGTTTGGACATTTAAATTCTGGCCATCAGAACTGCTCTCGTCCAAAAGTTTTGCCTGTAAATCCAGTTTATTTGAAGACATGGAAGGTGAAATCTCTGTGTCATTGTGAAGAGCTGGATTTTTGCCATTGAATTAAATAGCTTCAGGGTATTACACATAGGTCTTATTTATAGTGCCCGGGGCTAAATGATAAATATATGGGTTTCAACTTTAATAAAGAAAATACTGAGAGACTAAATCTGTAAGCGGATAGAAGAAAATGAGATAGCTTAGGGAGAGGATCACCAAGCCTGCCATCAACATTGTCACAGATGAAGTTACTAAATTTAAATAGAACTGTATTGAAAAATGCCGCCAAGTGTATTTCTTGGTTTAAGACTTTATGAGAGTAATTCACTCAATTTATTACAGAGTCAGACAGATAAGGTAAGAAATGTGAAATAAAATACAACTGAACTGAGCTGTATTTCTGGAAGATGCTAAGATCCAGGAAAATGAGGCTTCCAGTCCATCTCCTTACACTCTGAAGTCCCTGGAACAATATCCAGGAGGTTCCTGGATGCCTGGTAGTTTCTTCATTTGTTCCGCTAGCTGTATTTAAGCAGAGAGACTCTACTGCTGTTTTCCTGGGGTGATGTGTAAAATCCTTATGCCTCCAGGGAGTTAAGCCAGTTTTGTCATCAGGGAAGCGGCTTATCTCCATAGCTGGAGAAACAAACCTACTTTATTTCTCCTTGATGTTATCTAATCGGTTCACACACCTTTCATGGAAAGAAAGGAGGACAGTAAATTTTCCCAGGCAATCCGCAGTAGAACAAGAAGGCACGGGCTTAAGCTCTGCCAGGGGAGGTTTAGGTTGGATATTAGAAAGAAGTTCTTTACAGAGAGAGTGATCAGGCGTTGGAATGGCCTGCCCAGGGAGGTGGTGGAAGATGAGGCTGGATGTGGCACTGAGTGCCGTGATCTAGGAATCACAGGGGGGTTGGATCAAGGGTTGGACTTGATGATCTCGTAGGTCTCTTCCAACCCAGTTAATTCTATGCTTCTGTGATTCAGCGATAGCTCACTTCTGCAGAAAGAGGAAAAGCTGAATGTGATGAATATTAATGGCATCAATAATAATGTGGGGTTAAACAGTAATAAAGCATATGAAGGTATTTAGGAAGAAGCAGCATACAAGAGTCGCAGGCTATTCAGTATTTTTAAATGGTGCTACTTTTTCACTATAACTTTAATTAAGTCTCTTCAGAAAAGGGCACTAATGTCTAGGCATTGCTATATATTAGTAAGTGACATGATCTCATTTTTTTGGGATACTTGCCTCATTTGGTGCACAGACCAAGTTATGTTCAGTAGGTGAGCAGTTTTTATCTTTTTAAAGTTTTCACTGCAGGATCAAATGCCCTGAAGATGGATCTGTAATTTCCTCATGACTCTCTTCCTCCTTCCAGTGTTTAAATGTTTACTAAGTACACTGTCATGCTGAGACTGTGAGAATGAAGGTGATATTTCTTAGGTTTTACGGAACTAGGACACAGAAGTGCTCACTAATTTTGTGCTTAGGTTAAGCTTCTTGGGATGCTTTTTTGCAAGTACTTATTAAAAGGTATATTCCCTCTGACTTCACTTTCAGTTGTGAATGATCTGTTTGTCAAATTCAGGATCCAAGAATTCATATCTCAGAAGATACAGGACATAAATATCATAAGTTCCTAAGAAAAACACAGAAGTGTGGGCACTTGGCTATTACCTGTTAGAAGAAAGTTGAAGAAAGCTGTCTTTTAATGTCATATTCAGATATTTTACTCATGAGGCTTTTCACCCTCCCCTTCATTCCACTTTATTTACTGCAGTCCTTCACCTTCAGCAAGATGTGTGGGAAGGATTTATCTAGCACTGTCTTCTTTTTTTTTTTTCTTCTTTTTGCAAAGACTAGTGAACTGAGAAAGGTCCTCTTATTTCTTGACTCATGCACGTGATTGTGTTAAAAAAAATTAGGCTGCACTATGCAGCATTCTTGTAAGGGAAGACTTAATATTAAGCTCACTAGTCTTAATAGTTCCTTTAAAGTATTTTACTTCTGTGCCCTATGTTGGTGCTTTTTATAAACTTGAGTCTTGGACTCCATTCCAGCTTTTTTAGAGGACTGTTTGTTGAGGTCACTCCCCTTCTACCTTCTGCTATTTAGTCCTGTATTTTCATTCTTTCTCTCCCCTGGGGGACTCTACCACTTTCTTTCCTGGTTGGCCAGTATTCAGTGCTCTGATGACCAATTCAGGCTTCCTGTGCCAGCAGTTGAAGATCCATACCTGATTTCAGTCACTCCTGACTCCTCATTAGGACATCCAGTGTTTTTTCTTATTGTCTCATGTATTTTCCCTGTCGAATTCTTACACCAATTTAACAGAATCACAAGTGCTTTTGGATCCAGTACCTCTTTCTTATCTTACCATTGATTTCCAATTTAGTCTTTGTAGCTCAGGGACAAGGAAACTGAGACCAGCTCTGCTGCTCTGTGGTTTGTGGGACCTGGTTCTCTCTTCCTTCAAGTCATTTGCTTTCTTTCCAGTGCAGTTTAGGAACCAGCAGGTGATATGTCAAAACAGAGAGAAGGAGCACCTCCATTGGTCTATGCAGAGGTTGTCAGTGTCCCAGGAGCCAACATTAATTCCATTGAAGTTCTGCCTTTTCAGTCTGGATCATACTCCATGCAGATAGGACCTTCAGAGAACTTTGATTCACTGCTGAATTAATTGTGAAAAGGGTGACAGTCCCCAGGCTCTCAAATCAACCAGGTTTTGGTGGGTCTTTTCCCCCTTGGGGCAGATGAAAAAAAAAAAGGTAAAAATCCAGACAAATTTTATTTACTTTAGCCAAGCATGGTGGAAGTGCAGGGTTTATTTTCTCAACCAAACTGTTCCAAAAACATATCTTTCATGTGGAGTTCTTGGAGTCTGAGTTTTAACATTTTCTGTCTGAACATGCACTGGTTTTGCTGAGAAGCTACTCTGGATATTCGTATAATAGTTGTTTGGTAGTTTAAGAATACAAAAAATGTACACTTCGAGTGTATAAGGATTATTTAGAAATCAAGGTAAGAAATCCTATTAATGTTGCTTTAATTTCTTGAAGCATTCAGCAGATTGTTTTATGTCTCAATGTATGACAACACTGGATGAAGTGTCAAGGCAAAACTGCTTAGAGATAATGAATTGTACACTCAAAATATTAACTATTCTGCATTCTGCTTGTGTTAGCAAAAACTCGTGCTGCTGACTTACTGGTGAATCCACTGGACCCAAGAAATGCAGATAAAATTAGAGTTAAAATTGCTGACCTGGGAAATGCCTGCTGGGTGGTAAGTGTAACTCCATCCTTTCAGCTCCTCACTGTTCAGAACCGCCCTTTTTGTTGTCCTTTTTCCCCATTAATGTGGTTCTTTCTGTTTTAGCACAAACACTTCACAGAAGACATCCAGACAAGACAATATAGATCCATAGAGGTTTTAATAGGAGCAGGTTACAGTACACCTGCTGATATCTGGAGTACAGCATGTATGGTAAGAACAATACAATCTGTATTTTTCAAGAGAAAACCTCCTAAGAACTGGTTTGTTTATTTAGCAAAGAAACCCAGTGGGGATACTTTTGACATTTTGACATAAATACATTATCATGAGTCATGTTGTATTGGGTAGCTACTGATGATTTCTTCCCTTTACCTCAGTTTCTCAAGCCTTCTTAATCAAAAGGAAGTATTTTGGAGAACATTTCTAATTTTCATGTGATGCACTTTAAACTGGTAGTCAAAACTATGCAAGTTTAGAGGGAAATAGATTTATATTTTAAATGGCAAAATGTAACTGGAATAGTACAACTGCATATTTTTCTTCCAGTCTTAGAATCTGTGCTACTGTTTGCCGTGTTTACATTCTTTTCTCTTGTGTCAAGTAACAAAACAGTGAAATACTTTAAATTCTTGCCAAGTGCAGTGAAAACATGGGTCGGATCAGGCTTGGAAGTCACAGCTTTAGGTTCTAAACTTTAAAGAGAAGGAATTTAGTTTATTAGTGTAAAATATGTGGTAACATTCTGTAGAATTAGTTTTAATATGGGAACTGAAATGACATTTTTAAAAATCTTTAGAGAGCAGGAAAAGTGAAAACTTAATCGTGCAACTTTTTGAAGCACTCTTGTTTATAGTATCTCTTTGAGGTCAAACAAGCCACATGCATCTTCTCATTAAAACTAGTGTGTATTTCCAAAAAATACATTAAAAATACCTTTGTCTATTTTAAAAGTGAAAACTTAATCAAATCTTTATATTTTACAAATACATGTCTGAAAAGAGTAAGTGTGTGAGGAGGAGGAGAAGACTCAAATACTAGACACAGTTTGCAGGCGTGGGCGATGAGAAGAATTGCACAGCTCAGAGGGAGAGGAGGAGGAGGATTGAAAGGAACATAAAATCCTACATATTATAAGCTCAGCAGGCCATGTGTTGGAAGTAACTAACCCATAAGTGAAATTAAAGTACTTTTTCTCTGGAGTTGAATACTACCTTTTGTTCTAGTACACAGGAAAAAAAGATCCATTTCCAAATTTACTCTTCCATTTGGGGACAAAATGTAGAAGTTTTCTACAAATGTTCCACAGTTGTGTTCCTTAATGATTCTTCATCTTAACTAACTACAAAATCATTATAGAGTCTTTTGTTCTTGTTACCTGATATTTTGTAAACCTCAGTTGAACTTGATAACCTTTTATGATATTATATCCTATATTCATGTTTCTTTAGGGTTGTACCTGCCCTTGCTAATTTTATGTACAGTCTTGTAGCTAAAGACACATAAAGAAGGCTGAGATCTGTCTAGGATTGTGTCCAAAGGTAGTTGGGTATTTAATAGCAATGTCATACCTGGAGAATAAAATATTCTTAAAATACCTGGGATTGTTCAGCCTCTTACACTTTCTCTTACATGTTATATAAGCATTACTGCTTTCTTCAAACTCAGGGGACAAAAAGCCTAAAGCATCGTTGCCCCTGGAGGTATCTTAACTCAGATTCACAATTACATATGAAATATTTTAACCAGAAAATTATATTTCTGGTTTTTTGTTGTGCAGGTTTTAAAGATAGTAGAGCGTTTGAGACAGAAGCACTTTAATTCTGTCTTCTGACATAGACTTTGGGTTTTTTCCCCTTAAAAAATGCAGTAGAAATTTTATACGCTTACAGCACTGACACAGAGTTGTTGAATTCAGTTGTCATCATTGTATAACTGTGTGAAAAACAGAGAGCAGGCTCTCAAGTTCACCCCAAAAATTCATCATTTGAAACCTCCCAGAATCTGCTTTCATTCCTGCATGGCTGAGAAAATGGGTCAGAGCACTGAGAACACTGATCCTGTATCAGATGAAAACCAGCTCTGAGGTAGGGATTGCCTTGAAGACCTTAATAGCTCTTTCTGCAGAGGACTTGTAACAGAGACTGACAGCCAGGGAAACATTCCTAATGTGGAACTGCAGACTCCCAAATAACTTATTTAGGCTGTCTTTGGAAATTATGATTTTAATCTCCCCAATCCCTAGAGCAGTCAGGAACTGTGAAGTACCAGAGTGTTATAATGCCACTATAAACTTGCTTTCTCAGATTTGGTTTCCTTGTTGTACCTACTCGTGGTTTAGAAAATTCCCTTCTAGTTAACCTTGCTCTTTTTCATACTTATTTCACTTAGTTCCATAATTTGTACTGTGTGTTTTCAAAAGGATTGTCTGCTGGACCAGGAGGCGTTTCTTTTCAGCCAAAATACAGCTCAGGTACCCCATTAGCCATGTTGTCCAAGACTGTCAAAGGAGAACAAAGAGAGGACTTGCTCATATTTCTTTGCTTGTACAAGTCCAGAGTCATTAAGGGCATTTCTGGGAGCAGTACTATGCAAAATGAGTGATCCAGCAGCATAACAAATTTAGTGTCAATAGGGTTTCTGTGTCAGGGATTTATGTGTGTGTAGAGCGCATCAGTCTTTTTATGTGTCCTGGATTTTATGGACAAGGACTTGGAATGCATGGTACCAGGATTCACCTGGGATCTTAACTTGGTCTTGTGCTTTATGGATCTCCATTTGAGCCTCAGGTTTTTGCTGCCTTGGGCTTGCTAATGAAATAGTCTTGCTCACTGAGAATATCGTTGACGAAGAGCAGCAAAGCTGCCGGTTCTTGTGTTGGCTTGTATTTATGGCCTGAAGTGTGGCAAGTGGAGCGCAGAGGTTGTGGTTTATCACAACAGCAGCAGACTCTCTTCATCATACCATTTGCCCATCAGTTTTACATAATCTTTAGTAATGAGGATGGAAATGATGTTTTTAAATGGGCTTTAGGCATGCAAAACATCTGTGTTCCTGTGTGCACAGCAACTCCCAGAATACCCCCTTAGGAGTCTTGCTTTTGGGACCTGTTATGTCATGTCTGTGTGGAGAGGGTTCCTAACCTGGCCTCTGCTGGTATGGGTCGGCTTTGTCTAGGCATGAACTCCATGGTTTCAATGCAGCTTCCAGGAAAGAACAATCTGTTTTATTGGTACTGTCTTTAGTATGTGAGTAGCCAGAGTTTCTGGTCAGGAGTACTTGTGGTGGAAGCAGACTTAATCAGGGATATGCAATGACTCCACCCAAATAGCACAAAAGGACAAAATAACTCATTGCTAATAACCTTACAGTCCAGTTTCTTTCATGTTATGTCAGTGAATAAGCAGCACTGTAAGCCAGCAGCCTCTGAGCTGAGTCTTCTAATTTTAGATGGTTTGACGTGGCCCAGTTCTTGTGCCCCAAACTTCTTCGAATCGGATTTAAAGGATGAACATGAGTATCCCCAGGCCAGTACCAGTCCTCTGCTCAGGTGATCTGAGTCTCAGAGTCTTTAAGATGCACAAAATGCTGGGGAGCTAATGAAAGAGGTTGGATGTCAGTGGGCTTTTGCAGACCATGACAGAGTTGTTCACTTGTTCTGTGCTCAGCAAAGCATGCAAAAAAGGAACTTAAATTTTTTCCCCTAGACTTTGGTGACCTCAGGCTGAGTGGTTGTTGCTGTCATTTTCTGGAGGTTTTTAAATTTTGCTAGGGACATTGTACAGTGCTCTTGTATTTTTCTTTTAACAATGTGGCCTATTTAAGTGGAATACCCAGCTGCTCTCATGGAAAACTAGACACTGGGATTTTTTCTCCATATTCATTAAATTCCAGAAAATGTTCCCTTGCTGTACTAAGCCCTAATTTAATTCTGCCAATGGGGAGATGCATCTCTCTTTCACCCCCAAAAAGGAATAGATTTGGAGCCAGCAGTACCTTTGACTGGATTGAAACCACTCTCGATGATTTCATGTTACCCGGCTGCATTTCCACATTTGCAGTATTGAGAGGGTTGCTTTCTGTAGAGCAGAAACTGAACAAACACCGCATGATTTAGCATTTCCTAAATCCCAGAAAACATGGAACACAGTACTCCACTGCTGCTGCCAAGAAATCCTGGCAAGATGAGGGAGTTAGTACTGGCAGACTTTGTATTGCTCCTGGAAATGACTGCAAGCACCATGATTCCCCCACTTTTCCCTTGTTTATGCTCTGGATTGGAGACAGGAAAAACACCTGAAGTGATGAGTCTTATCATGACTTCTGTTGTTCATCATGTGCACTCTTGTTTGAGCTGCGGGGAGGAGATGACTTTATCACAAGCTGGGACATGAGCAAGATATGTTTTTAACACTTTTCTGAGGTGGCTTTTGTGGAGAGTTGTGATTCCTGCAATATCTTGTTTTTACAATAAGAACTATCAAATAGATCATAGCTGCAGATCAGCAGGAAGTCAGAGAAGGTGAAAATTGTACTTAGTGTTTTATCTCCCCGAAGGGAATGTGCATGATGAAAGAAAACACTAGTGAGTGTGAAGGGAAGGGGATGGGCAAAGAGCTTTCAAAATGAGGGAGGTGCTACTACAAGCAAGGAAGGAAGGAAGCTCACAGTGGTGGGTTTTTAGTATGAGCATTTCTGTTTGTGTGAGAGAACTCGGAGGAACAGAATGAAGAATTAGCAGGATATAGTAACTTAGGATGCCAAAATTAAACCTACATGTAAGTGCTTGTAGGTAACTGGGGGCTTGTGTCCCCAATGTACTTCTTTGTATGATGTCCTCTTAACGTGGGGTAGAGAGGTAACTGTCCTCAACTTCTCTCATAGTGTTGTAAGCAGGGAAAAATTATCATGTCTCCATGGGATCATGAGTATCATCATGCTAGTATGTGTGAGTGGCACATACCAAAGGTGTGATGACAAGCCTCAGCTTGCACAGAGGCAGTAGTTTGAGGAAAAATGGAAAATCAAAAATGTGGGTTTGAGAGGAGAAAAACCTGAAGTCGTTATACACATATTTTTCAGTAGGCAGATACAGTACAGAATGCTGTTATTAATCACTGTACACCCTTTTTGAAGGTGGTGGGTGGACAACCTGAAACATTTAACAGAAAATGATTTTCCAGAGAAACTGACTTTCCAAAGCAACCACTTGGGACGTGCATAATTCTGAGATAGGAGTATGGCAAATAAAGGAACCCTGTTTCCTTTCCTAGGCATCCCATGCAAGTCTCTGTTTTGGGTATCTGGCCTTTCTTACCAAGCACTAACCATGCAAAGTGCCTTTCATATTCTTTGCGTTGCCAGGCTCTTCAGAGGGAGATGTCCATGGGAGAACAAACTGTCAGGAGGTGTGCTCGTGTCTCAAAAAGCTTTTTCCTCTTCTTTCCATGCTCCCACTTACCTGTGGAGCAGCGTTCTTAAAACCAAGCCTATTTTTAAAGCAGTTACAGTCATCTCATTCACGTCTCTTCATTTCAGCTGGGGCAGAGAAACTCTGGCCAAGAGCCGGATCTCATCTGTCAAAATAATAATTCTGGCGTATAGCTTGTTGTCCTTTTTCAGTTGGAGCTTCAGTTCAGGGAAACTGATGCAGTCCAAGTGAATTGTTCTTGTAGTCCTCTCCCAGGCAGCTTTCCCTAGGCATACATCCATTTTTCAATCACCAGATTGAGTACACAGCTGTCACACAGTGAAAATGTAGCTGTTTCCAATTGTGTGATTGGACATGGATCCATAATATACAGTAGTGATGCCAACAGTTCAGTGGTGTGGTAGGTTCGTACACAATCGTGTGGCAGGAAAGAAAGAGAGCCTCTCCAGAGCCTATAAAACAGCACTGTGACCATATATATATGAAAGGTTCTCCATCTGCAGATGGAGAAGAGCAGTTTAAGTGGTTTTTTGTGATAACCCTGGGAAAGTGGTAAGTAGGAACTGCCAGTACAGTCAGTAAGGATGGATGATTGCCTTGGGCTTCTGTGCCATATGTTGAGTGTGCTGCATCTCATTTTTTTTATCTCCATATAATAAATGAAATGCTGGCTTCTGTTGAGGTAAATGTCAACATTAAGTAAAAAACATCATGGTATTTCGAAGTTGGAGTTTCTGTCAAGAAATTAGTTTTTATAAATTAATACTTTCAAAGGGAAAGTAAGTAAAATATGGTTAATCGGTATTTGTAGCATCATGAAAAATATAGCCAAATTTAGGTTTAAAAGAGATTTCTAGTAGTGTGCCTTTTTCTTGAACTGTGATTGACATGAAAATTAGATGATTTTCAGACATGAAAATTCAGAGGAAATTCAGAGCCTCATCCAGTTTAGGGGTACATACCTGTCCGGATGGCATTTCCACAGCCTTTCTGAGCAGCCTGTCCCAGTGCTCAGCCAGTGTTGCCAAAGATTTTTTTTTCCTTGTATTTGATTGGAATTTCCCATCTCACAGCTCTTGTCTGCTCCCTGTTGTCCTTTCACTGGGAAGGGTGTATCTTGGTCTTCTCTGTTATTGCCTCCAGGCAGTGGAGTGCAGCAACTGAATCCCTTCTCCTCCCCTTCTCCAACCTGAGCACACCCAGCTGCACCAGCCTCTCCCATCCTACATCCTCTGCTCAGGACACGTCCTTGGGCCACGTCTTCCCTGGCCCTTCCCCAGTTTGACAGACTCATCCTCATGCTGATGCCCCAGGCCGGTCACGGGTCTGCAGGTGCCCGTGTGAGCGCTGAGGAGAGGGGTGGTCCCTTGTCCCGAGGGCCGGTGACAGGATTGTGACACAGCTCTGTGCTCACCCTGGGGGCTCGGCCTCTGATGCCATCGCAGAGTGTCAGCGACTTCCCTTTGGGGGCTGGCTGTGTGTGTACCTAGGCTGGGTATAAAGTGTGGGTAAGGACTGGGAGCGACCAGGACGTGCAGAGCAGCAGCGCAAGGCCAAAACTGGGGCTCTGAGTAACTAGGGGGGGGAGCTGCTCTTCCAGCGGCACTGACTCGCTGGTGGGGTGGGCTTTCCAGTGCGCCGTGCCTTTGGACGTGGGTTTAAAGAGCAGAAGAACTCTGACCGATACAATCCAGAGGTGTCATTGTCCTTCTTACAGCTATTTATGTGTTTATTAGTATATTTTTAAAACTGATTCTTTATGATAAAAACCTAGGTCTGGGTTTTACTCTTTCTTAAATGGGGCTCAATTAATTTCATGTATCTTGCACTGTGTAGCCGGTCTGTCCTACAAATATCTCAGAACATGTTACCAGGTTGCCACAGTGGGACATTGTCCTTCATGGATGCTAAGAATTATTACAAATATTCATCCCAGCACCTGTCTCCAGTGCATCTGAGTCAGATGTTTTTCATTCTTAGTGCAGAGTCCTTTGGGGAGAGTCAGGAAATAAATGTGAGGTGGTGTGGCTCCAGCCCTTCCTGGAATAGTCAGAGCTCAACACAGAATGAAAAAAGAAGCAGCATAATTTTGAAAAGCTTTAGTTTCTCTTCAGCAAGAGGGTGGTACAAATATCCCAAGTCTATGAGAGTTTGCAGCTCTTGTGATACACAAGCCAATCTAAAATTCGGAGTATCACAACGATATGTTACTTCTTGTACTCCTCTGTGAACAATTTTTACAGTTTTTCAATTTAATCTTTCTAGTCCTACGCAGACATATCAAGCTATTAATACTTCATTTTTTGGGGACAGAAACTGTATTCTTGTGGAGTCTACCTTTGTGGCTGAATTCAGCTACGTTTTTGTTGTTCTCTGAGAATCTGTTACAGCAGTGAGATTCTTGATGTGCTCAGAAATCAGCCCCATCAGCGTGTGTTCTAGGAAAGCTGGTCCATGAGATATGGAGGGGACACTTGGATCTTCTCAGTCTTATGTTCAAGAGAATGACAATGTTCTCTGTGTTGTGTTTAGAGTCTCTCCCAGTGATGTCTTCTGGCTACTGTTAAAATTTATTTCAGTTTAGAAATCTGATGTTTTGTGAAGTCCTTCAGACTTTTTACAGCTGTAAAATGAAAACTGTGAATGTTGAGTTAAGAGTAGAATAAAAGAAAAAGTGAATGACTGTTTATTAAGTGATAGTGACTTTAGAAATTAAAGGCTCATTCATAGGATCAACAGAAATGACAACAAGGGACGTTCTTGTTTTCTTGGCTGGTATGTGTGATTGCAGTGAATTATGTTGGCTGTAGCCCACTTGGATGACACTGTAGTTCACAGCTTGAAAAAGCCAAGTACCCATAAATAGGCTAAATTTACAGGTGATTTAACAACTCCAGATTATAAATTGGAACCGAAAACTGTCTATTTTCAGGAGACAGATATTTTGTAGTAAATGTTCTAACAGAATGAAATCCCATCCTAGAACTGTGCCAGGAAGTTCTGCCTGATTTTTGGAATGGTTTTCTGGATCAGATGTTTTCCCAGGTCTTGGACATGGAAAATATTTTGGTGTTTAAACCACCTGGAAAAAATTAGATTCCTGTAGCTTCTTGGGCAATTTCTGAGCCAGAGCTGAAAGAGAATAGTTTAACGAATTGAACTAGAGGAATCCATGTTTGTACACAAGCAGGGGCTCTCATAGGTACTTCAGTGCTTTGTGGCTTTTCACATTTGTTGCACCCATGAAGAGAAACTCAGGTTTGCCCTCCCATGGCACGGGGTTTTCATCCCATTGAAGCATTGCCATGGCCTGGAGGGATCAAATGTCATGGTGTCTGCTCTGGATTCCCCATCAGTGTCAGTCTCACTGTTTACCCCATCATTGCAGTATTTACTTTGATGACTTCTGATTCAACAAAAATATTTAAAAAAAAAAAAATCGTTCTAGAATTTGAGTCTTTGAAGAAGGTTACCCTGTTTGCTAATTTCAGGTGGTTAATTATAGCTATAAATGGATTTTATTTGTGATTCAACCTTTTTTAGTTTAGTCTCCAGCGTGCAATCTGGCAGGTAAATAGCCTTCAGATACATGTGTAGTTCTCATTATATATTTAGAAATAGCTCTGAGCCTCATTCACTCACACAATCTCCACATGATCATCAGACAACACATCAGTGTGTAAAGCCAGGCCTCCAGCCCCAGGCTGAGCGTGGGGCTCTCCAGAGCCCAGGTTCCTGCTGTCCTGGCACTGCAGGAATGATGGTCCCCAGGTAAGATGGTCCCTCTCCTCAGTCTTAGATCCAGTTGTAGGCCTTGAGCTTTGGATGTTCATTCCCTCTCGGTTCTGAGACAGCTGTGATGTTTTGCTGACATCTTATGATCAAACCCATTCTTTCTGAAATGCCATAAATGTGTCTGTTATGTTATAGGCGTTTGAACTAGCGACTGGAGATTATTTGTTTGAACCACACTCTGGTGAAGACTATTCCAGGGATGAAGGTAGGAATCTTCTGAGACACAATAAGAGTTTCTACATATTTTCATAGTCCTCTTCTTAAATTTCCAGTGAGCTTTTACAGTGGGGTTAAGTTTTGTGTTTGAGTAGAACTGTTCATACACATTGTTTTCAGAATATAAATATGATTTTTTTTCTTTTTAGTTTTAAGTTCCACCACTAGCAATGGGTGGGCAAAAAGTCCCTTCTGCAGATATTCATCTACTTAACAACTGCCTGAAGGAATTAAACTGCCCTTCTTGTAAGACTGCATATGTGTGGAAACCTGATTGAAAATAACAACATTTTAGTTTAGAAAAGAAACGACAAATTTGAACTTGATAGTATTTCCTCTTTATAAGAGTGACACTGGAATAATGTTTACATTGTGTATTCTTATTTGAATTAGGCAATTACTAATTATTATTTTTTTTTTAAATCAAAGTTAACTCCTGCTTCCATCTGTATACCTGTCCATTTTCATGCTTGTTTGCTTGTAAATGCTCTTTGCAGTGGTAATGTGGGCATCATTCATTGTTCCTAAATGCTACTAATGATGCCAGAGCTCTGCTGATCCTGGAAACCTCTGCATGGATTTGCTGCAAACATTGTTGATTTGAAACTATTTCTGATTTTTTACTAATTCCAGTTTCTTTCCTCTTCTTTTTTATCCCATCCTTTCCCTGCCCCTTCCACTCCCGTATCCTTTTTTTCTCTCCCTCATAGACCACATAGCACACATCATAGAGCTGCTAGGCAATATCCCAAGGCACTTTGCTCTATCTGGAAAATATTCTCGGGAATTCTTCAATCGCAGAGGTAGTACCTCTTCTTTTTGAAAGGTGCCGTGATGCAGACAGAAGTGGAATTGCTGTTGCTGGTTGTAGCACGTCCCAGCGAGGAGCATTTCCTGAAATCACACAACAAAATTTTCTTTTTGAAAAGCAAAATGTGCAGGAATCTCTGACAATTTTTTTTTTTTTTTATGGCCACATGTTCTGAAAAATATCTATTGGTACATTTTAAATTACGTGGCAAAACTTGTCTGTGGCAGCTGATACTCAGACGTGGTTTTGAGAAGGAAGTTTTGCTGAAAGCATCTTTCCAAAGTAGCCACTGAGCAAGCAGTGTGCACGTGTGGTTTTTACCAGGATCAATCTATTTCTGTCTGTACCGGGCCAGTGTTAGTGTGTGCATGCAATGTACTGATTAAACTGTTGTATGTTTCTGTTTTGCTGGCAATGTTCTCCAATGCAGACCACATAGCATTGATCATTGAACTGCTGGGAAAAATCCCTCGAAAATACGCTATGTTGGGGAAATATTCCAAGGAGTTTTTCACCAAAAAAGGTAACGGTATTTATGCAACACTAATTTAAAGCATAATGCTATCCAGAAGGAGAGTGTGTTCATTTATGGGTACTGAAGAAATATATCCATTTAAATGGAGAGCTCTTATTGAAGAAGAATTTTGGTGTAAACTTGGCTTTCTGAGAAAAGCCGCAATTTGCAGTATTCATTTCAATATTTCATTTAAAATTCATTTTGGGAAGTGCTCAACAAAGAGTGGATGTTAAGAAGTGTCTGTGTGAATCTGTTGTCTGATGTTCGTGCAAATGCGAGGACTCTGCGTATCTTGTAACGTGATGGAAAAATCCTCTGTCAGCAACTTTGGATGGTATGTGGTGGTCCAGCAGGTGCTACTGGTAAGAAATAATGGAGGTGGGAAGGGAATACCCGGGCAGTGGACACTTGGCTGCGTGCAGTCGGTCTCATGGGAGCAGGCAGGGCAGGTGGCTTTTCTGACACGTGAGGGAACGAGGTGATGCCTCAAGTGTCTTTTGTCCCCTCGGTGTGTGAGACAGCACTGTGCTGTTTCGAGGGACAGGGTGTGTCCGAAGCATCTTCTAACGTGGTTGGGGGAACATCTGGGGCTGTCAGCTGCAGCTGGTGAGTGCTTTCCTGCGGGACAGGATTCCCTCTAGCCCGTGACTCCACAGGCAGCTCGTGGGCAGGGTTGGTGCTGGCCCACCATGGGCATCGGACACGTGGGGTGCTGGGGGGGCTGAGGGGCAGTGCTGGCTGCAGCAGCTTGGGGTCATGAGGCAGGACACGATCCAGTGATTCATCCTCCCTTGTAGGAGAGCTGCCTGTTCTATGCGTGGGTATTTCTGGTCCGGCAGGGACCTCTGCAGCCTTGGTGTCCTCAGGGAGGCTGTTAATGGTGTTGGGCACAGTGCAGAGAAGGGCAGCAGTGATGATCTAGGAGGGAGCAACTGCCCTTTGAGGGAGTCTTTCTATTGTGGAACGGAGAAGGCTGCTGGAGGAATTGTTGAGGTTTACGTAACTGGGAATTCAGTGGATAAGCTGAAGACAGAGCAGCTGTTTGCCAGCACCCACCGTGTTAGAGGTGGGGGAAACCCAGTGAAATTTAGAAGGGGTGGCTTTAAAACAATCACTTCCCTATTCAGCAGACAGTGAGCTTCAGGAGCTGCCACAGGGGGCAGAGAGAGAGGCTGTATCAGCAGGCTTAGAACAGTTTCCTTTAACTGAGATGAACAAACTCAAGGCCCACAGGCACCCCCAGACAAGGAATGTGGCTGCTGGAGTGAGGCAGGGCCTGCAGAAGGGCTCCTCTGCCAGCCCTCACTTCCCCAGCCTGACCCTCCCTTAAAGTGCATCTCATGTTCCTAATTTTCACCTTACAGCAGATGGGTTGGTGTTTTCTAGTGATGTCCCCAAACTGTAAAATGACCTAACAGTTATTTGGTAACTGCAGTGCTGGCAGTGCACAGAAGAGGGCAGTTTGTAAAATTCCTGCAAGTGGAGAGTTTCTCCTGCTTCCATGAGCATCTTCAAGTGCAGACTGTCACTGTTGTCCTCTAGGGCCTGAACTTCAGTGACATTCCTCAGGGGCACTGAGGGTGCCTTTTAAATCCCAGAGGGTGGGATTTAAGCACCTTAAAAGGCTTGGGTTCACCCACCACAGAAAATGTGCGCTATGGAAGATTAAGTGGACTCAATCCCACGTGTTTCAACTCAAACCAGAAAATCTCAAATGCAAGATGAAGGAGTAATAGCCCAAGCTGCATTTTCAGATCATCCCAGTTATTCTGCTATTGCAGGCTGGGAAAGCTGAAGTGCTTTGTGGAGGAAGAATGGAGGTGGCAGGTTTCCTGCTCACTTGAGCATCTTTTCTTTGAATCGGGCACCAGGTATCCTTTTCCCCGTCCATCCCAGTACTGCCAGCCTGTGGTGCCCCCAGGAGGGATTTGCATATGGTGGGCTGGCAGGGATAGGCCAGCAAGCTGATGCATTTTGTATTCATCTGCTTGTGGCCTGAGCACTGGAGATCAGAAGCCCTGTGGCACAGGCATGAGGCTCTTCAGAGAATTTCTCTTTGTGGTGTAAAGGTGGGCTTAAAAAACGTAGTGTAGGTCCCTGTTTTGAAAACATCAGCCATGATTTTTACTCCTGTCTGTAAGTTTGACCTCAGAGAGAAGCTTTAAGCATTTGAGTTGAGCCACAGAAGTCACAGGCACAAAAAGAAAGCTGTTAGCAACCAAAGAGTTTACAGAATCGAGTCCCTTCTCAGTAACTGACTGAAGCAGTTTGTGACATTCAAACTGGAGGGTGCATTTTAAAAAGGGAAAGCATTTGCAAGTCACTTTTTAGTCACTATAGCACAAATGCTCACATACTTTTTATAGGGTCTCATCTTGATTGAGCCCAGTAATAACTCCAGGGAGTCCTTTCCTCCATGGAAAATAGCTTCTATGAAGACATGAAAGCTATTTTGACTGTAAAAATGATTAATATGTTTTGGCATTAACACTTGAAACACTTTTATTTTTCTTCTGGTATTTTCTAACCCTGTTTCCTTGTGAGCTAAACCTGTGCAAGGTGCTGGCCAGGTGCTGGCTTTGCCCACTGAAAGATGTAACAGTGAGAAGTACTGCTGTTCATTTACTAGCCTGGAAGGGAAAGGAAGGGGAGGGCTCTCCTCCACCTCCCTCGCTTCCATCTGCTATACCGGGAGGCCTTTCCAGCAGTCCTTGTGTTAGTTCTGGGGACCATGTCATATGTACATAGCAGCAGAATACATCCCACTGCTGCTTCCCCGGTCCTTCACGTCATCCATGTCTTACTGTTCAAGAATCCGTCCTCCTCTTGCCTGGTGACACATCTTAAATTTGTCTTTGGCAAATTTCATAGACTAGTTCTGGTTTTTTGTGTTATCGTCAGCAGAGAGAGCTTTAAATAGCATCTTCCTCCCCCTCCCCCCAGGTCCTTCAGAAATTTTTTCAGTGATTTCCTTCTGACTTAACATTGCACTTTTCAGAGGGATCATTGCTGCCTCTGCTTTGGCAAGAGGGGTTTTACAGCTCTGACAACTCCGTTGTCCTCTGCAGATTATTTCCTGTGTGCTGCACTATAAAAAAAAATCTAAATAAAGAGCCTCTGCTAGGAAGATCTCACTTCATTACATTTTTAGCATTTCTTTGAAAATTCATGGTAATGCCCTGAATATGGATGGTGTCAGACTGGTGGGGCCTGTGCTTTTAATTTCTCCTTTACAGACAGGTACAGGCTTGCTCTCCTCACCCTGCCTGGTAAAAGCCTCATTAAACAGATGAAAGTACGTGTTGGCAGACACCTCCATTTTCTGTGCTGCTCTCCTGCTTAAGGATGGAAATGAGAGGGACCCACCACATGAAAATTAATTCTTAGGGTTTTTTGTCCGCCTCAGTTGTATTAACTGTCTTTTACTTACACTATTTTGATTGCATGGTCAGCATCATGATCCTTACTGAAAACTGAAGCATTAGTTTAATTTGTGGCCCCCACACAGATAATTTTTACTGTGTCCTACCTTCTTAAATGCTTTTACAATCTTCACAGAATTTCTTGTGGAAAATTTCAGTCCTCACTGCTAAAATAGTTTCTTCCCCAGCAGAAAAACTCTGGTTTTTTTTTTTTTTCCTTTGTGCTGGTCTTAGTGTGAGCATTTACAAAATAAGGAGTATTCAAACAGCACGAACTTGCCTTCTGCAGTGACACCAAGAGCCTCATTGTGCAGTCCTTCCTGACCAAATCTGAGGGAGGAAAGATGCTGGAAACAATATAATGGGAATGCAGAGATGGAGACAGTGCTGCATGGAAACACAGCTTCCTCCCCCAGAGATAGCCTAGTTTGGTAAATGTTTGCAACAACCCTTGCAATGAATGCTGGAGAAGCTGTGGACACAGCCTGATTTTGATTTTTTTTTTTTTTTTTAGTAATTTTTTGCTTGCACTCAGTAACAGGTCACTATTTTTTATTGCTTTTAGGCAGTATTTGAGTCTATGCTTACATAACTTACTACCTGTTCTTATAAGTAGCCATCAGTACACGCTTTTGGAAACCTTCCAAAAGGTAAGACTTTTAGCAGTTAAATTTCAGAGTTGCACAAAGATTTAAAGGGCTGAGAGTGGGCCTGGAAATGAATATGCTGCTCTGAGATGTGCTGTCCTTCCTGTACATTCATACTGTGGGACAGTTGTGGGCCCAGAGTGGAGCCTTTTTGAGTTTGACTGTTGGGTACCGACAGACATCTTTGTGCTGTAAATGTTCAGACATGAAGCAGGGGAATGCAGCCTCTGCTTATAGTCCTCTCTCAGAAATCCTGCTGCCCTGTGAGATGGAAAGGGGACAGTGGGCCAGCTGTGGGTAGCACATCCTGAGTTTCTCTTACCAGCAGGATTTTTGTTCACTTGCAAATGATGGATTGTTTGCACACTTGCTCTTTTGGGGACCTTGTGACAGGGGCTGGAGAGCTGCCTTTTCAAGCATCTCGTCCTGTAGGACCTTCTGCTGAGGGGGCTGAGCCAGCAGGAATGTGGCCTGCTGAGCCTTTGGGGGTTTTGTTCCATTGCACTGAGATGCTCAGCCTCTTGGGCAGTCTGACACAGGTTTCTTCTCCTGCCCTGGAACTTCCCTAGCCACAGGGATGTACAGAAACTCTGACCAAGAGCGGATGCCTGATGGCATTTTATGGGCAGTAGGTTACAGCCAGGGACGGCCACCAAGCTGGCAGACCACTTTGCTTAAATATAGTATGGCCTGCATGCCCCCTCACCAGATGGTGTAATGAGCTTGTAAAGCTGTGGAGGAGCCACGCTCAGCCTCCTGTTGTGGGGGAGACCCTGTCACTCTCCTCAGCAGTTCAGGGGACATTGCAGAAGCACCACAGCGTTCTTTAAGGGTTTTGCTGTGTCATGTGGAGACTGGCTCAGACATATGCCTGCGAAGAAGGGAGATGGTCATGGGTTGCCTTAAGAGTATAGAAATTTGGCAGAAAACAACTGCCCTTGTGTTCCATCTGGTCCTCAGAGATCAGAGGGCTGGGTGCATCTGGGCTTCGTTACTGCTTAGAACAGATCAAGGGCTCTTAAGTCTGGTCGTGTTCAGTAAGAACTTTCACAAGTGCAGATTTGTGACTAGTGTAGTTTATTGAAGCAGCAGGCTGTAGGTTCTCATGAGATTGCTGGTGATAAATGTACCAGATCTACAAAATACAAGTGTACAGCAAGCACTGGGTACAAGTGTTCCTGGGTATGCTCCAACACAGTTGGAAGCACAAATCTTACTAGACAGGCGTCCCTGCTTTGCGATAGAGAGGTGAGTGAGCCTATTGACTCGTCTCATCCTCTTCACAGAGGATTTCAAATGTCAGATTGATCCTTTTGGTAGAAGTGGAGGTGAGACCATTGTCAAATTCCCTGTTATGCCATCATAAATGGTGGGGGGGCAGCCACATGTAAACAAGGGATATCAAGAACCTTGATTACAAAGGCTGCGGGTCTTGCACAAGGTGACTCCTCAGTCCCTCTTCCACCCATCTGACTGCAGCAATAAGGGTCATCTGGCCTGATAACCTGGTAATCCATGGTAATCCCTTCATCACATACCTCATGGCCCATCTCATTCATGGCATTAGGCCCCATTCCTAGGAGTGGAGGAGCAGGAAACTGAAGAGTCCTCCCCATCGTGCCAGATGAGCTGTGGGTAGATCTGGATAATATTGCTGGTTTGAATTGCAGATGGGTTCTCACCTCTGCTTTGGTCTGAGACACGTTGCCAGGTTGGCCAGATGTGCAATTCCCCCCCTCTGTGAGAACTCAGATCCTGCAGCTGCTGCCACCACTTGTCTCAGTGGTTGGTTGAAGGAGACATGGGCAGCAGCAGGTGCTTCCTTCTCAGAAAGGATTCAGACCAAGCCTCCCGGCGGTGTTTACTTGGGAGATGGAGCAGAATCCCTTGAGTGCCAAACCTCCCGGCTCAGCTTGGTTAGGGATGAATCGCTGCTCTGCTGCATTGTTGGCAGATGCCACAGAGCAGGGCAGGGACCCGTGTTCCTGAGACCTCTGTCTTGGGATCGGAGCAGATTTTGTAAAACTTGGGTTCACTGGCTGATGAAGAAGGAAACGCCTGCAGTGTTCTTTGCCCACGGTGTGAGCCTGTGTGAGTCTTTTTGTGTGGGAGAGTGGAGAGAGCAGTAAAACATCAGTGGGGTCTGGGTGTCTGCTGTAGGAATGGTTTCTTGGTTTTGACATCGGACATATTCGTCTCCTGTGAGGACCTCAAGCTTGCTGTGTGCTGTCCTTCGTCAACAATGATTCTCAGCCTGGTCAAGGTGCTGTGAATGCAGAGTGGGAGAAAAACAAAACAGGGATTAGTCACTAACAGGGATAACGAGGTGTTTCCCTAACGCTATTCATCTTTCTGTTTGCAGGAGAGCTCCGACACATTACCAAGCTGAAACCTTGGAGTCTTTTTGATGTGCTTGTGGAGAAGTACGGTTGGCCTCATGAAGATGCTGCACAGTTTACAGATTTCCTGATCCCCATGCTAGAAATGGTCCCAGAGAAACGCGCTTCAGCTGGAGAATGCCTTAGGCATCCGTGGCTGAATTCTTAGCAGAATCTCTCAGATGTAAAAAAAAAAAGCCAGCAACCACTTCCAATGCGTTGGACCTAAATGGTGACTGTCACAAAATCTTTAGCAGGATCACACGTGAGCTGGCTTCAATCCTCAGACCTTTATTTTGCTTGAGGTACTGTTTGACATTTTGCTTTTTGTGCACTGTGTTCTTGGGGAAGGGTAGTCTTTTTGTCTTCAGCTAGTAGTTTACTCACCCACTTTCTTCAGAAAACACTTAATGTGTCTTTAAGCATTGTTTCTTGTGTTGTGTGGCATTCAGATGTCAGATTTTTGAACAAAGGAAACTTCCCCCCAATGTGTTTTGGCAAGTTTTGTAACTATTTATGAAAAAAAAAATATTTTAGCTGATGCATATTATATAATTTACAAGTGTAAGAAATTTATCAAGTCAGAACTGAGTTACGGCGAGGAATTGTACAATTTTATCTTCTGGCAAAGGGACATCATTCTTGTATTATAGTGTATGTAAATGCACCCTGTAAATGTTTATTTCCATTTAAATATGGGACTGGGGACTCAATTTCAGAGTAAAGCGACTTAAGTTTTAGAGAGCTTTATAGCAAACCAATTGCATGTAGTGGACTTTAAACTGCTTTAAGGAATTGTGTAAACTTTCTATTCTGTAGCAGTTCCCGTTCATTGGATTTTAAACAAAGTGGCTCTGGTTTACAGGATTTCATTCCCCAAACGGCACTTTAAAGGAAGGCTAGACTTCTTTCTAATAAAGTATGCATTATCATTTAGCACTCCCTTTTAGAACTTTTGCCTATTTTAAGTGCTTTTAAGAAAAGAAAGATAGCAATTTCCCTACAATGTGATAGTGAAGACATGGTACCATATGGTGTTGCCTTTTTATAAGCACTGTAAGTTGTACTATACCTTAAGAAAAAGAAAAAAAATTAAAAGTAGAGCATGAGAACCACTCTCTGTGTAGAATTACTGATCTTTTATAATAAAAGTGTGTGCTTGGCGTCAGTTAAGGAAGGATATAGCTGCAAATATTTACAGGGCAGTGGGTAAATTAATCCAAGAAGCGAGATCATGCTCATTCCATTCATAGCTTTACATGTTTCTAAAACAAATTGCACTAGCTTTATTCTTTCCCATCCGTAGACATACGACTGCCCGTTGTAAGTTGCACGCAACAATTACGTGTTTCCTAGGAAAGGCTGCATAGGCTGAAGCTTATAGGCAATACAGATTTTAGAATGTACAGTATGGAGGTGTGTTTGGGCCTCATTTAGAAGTCAGTGGGATGAATGTAAGCTTACTCCTGATCTTCATGTAACTACGGTGCCACTTTTTTTCTTGACTTTGTCCATATGAAATTTATTCACATGCCTTTGCAATAACTAGATTGTGAGAAGATAGCCCCATGCTGTAACAATAACCAGTTGTTTGAGGTGCTTGCAGTTGTCTAATTAAAGTGTTTTGTTTTTTCAGACAGTGTTGCTGGTCATTGGAATCTTTGCCTAGCCAGGACTCAGCTGCTGTGCTGGAGGGGTGGGGGGTGGGGGCTGGCAAAGCCTGGCCAGAGAAATGCAGCTTCTTGTGTTGGTTTATGAAATACCTCCCCTGCTGTCAGTCAGAGCAACCCGAGGGGCCCTGTGGCTGGAGGGGCTGGGTGAAATGTGGCAAAACCCAACAAGAGTCTTTCCTACCACCTGTTTAACTCCTGTCACAGAGGGCTGGGGCAGCCACTCCAGAGAACTGCCAAGGCCCCAGGCGGGAGAAACTCATCCAGTGCTGAGGTCCTGACAGCAGTTGGGTTTCGGGACCATGTGCCTTCACCCCTATCCCTGGAACTGCTTTTAATGGCTGCAAGGACAACACTGGTGAGAAGGATGAATCCCACAATGGACTCAAACTGGAGGTAAAAATTATGTTCAACTTCACAGCCAGCCTGGCCCCTGCAGTGCCCACTGCTGCAAGTTAGAAACGTGTTCTTGAATACACAGAAAATGCTGGCACTGGATTAAAAGTGCCAGATCAAGCCAAGGCAGGCAAGTGAGCACAACGGGCACAGCAATCCCCTCTGCCCTGGCCATGGCACTGCAGAAGCACTTAGGGCACTGAGGCCTAGTCCCACTGCACCCCAGTGCAGCAGCTCCTTGTGCTGCACTAAGACCTGGCCCTGCACAGTGTGTTTTACACTCCAAAGGATGATGTCACTTTGTGGAGGTGTGGAAGCAGGAGCAGAGAACCAGTTTTGAACAGTGGGCTTGAGAGGTCAAGGTGTATTTTTTTCAGAATCAGTGATGAGCAACTCCTAGCTGGAGTGGGTTCCGTTTTTCTGCTGTTGATGGCCTAATCCTCTGCTACTTCAGGCTAATGCAAACCATACTGCACTCCTCAAAGTGTGTGTTCTGCAGAGCCAGCAGGTGTTCAGGAAAGCATTTCTACGTATATGATTTTAGCTAATAGAATTAATTAGAGGCAAGTCAGAATTTAAAGTGGCCCCCATTTCTGTCTACAGGTTAAAAAGAATTACCACTTTTTTTCAGTGAGTAGGAGCAGCCACTTCCCCTCCTATCCCGTTTCAGCTTTCCTCCCACACTGGTTCTCCTCTCTGGTTCTGAGGTGGAGCCACTGAGCACCGTCCTGTTATGTGAGCAGAATTGAGAGCAGTTACTGCCGAGATAGAAGGACGCCGTCACTCACCCATTACAGAATAACTGCACCCATAAGCACAACAGCAGCTGCTGCTCTTCCACCACAGGAATAATCCACTGCCCTTAAAAAAACCCAACTACTACATAGTTTGTAACATTCTGTGCCCCCTTACAGCATCACACACTCAGCTCCCTCAAGTCTGCACCAACAGCAGGGCCTGCAGAGCTACAAGAAGGGAAACAGGAACCACAATGTACCAGAGCTGCAAGTGGCGCCAGGTCTGTAGCCAAGGTCAGAACATCTCTAGCCCACAACACTCCATACCACGTCACTGCCCGATTAACATCAGTAAACTGACCCAAGACCCTGCTGTGCCTGGGGGGATTCTTCCTCAACCTCCCCTCCTCCACCTGTTCCCCATCTGTCTGTGCTGCAGAAGTAAAGCCACAGCTGGAAACTGCAGGGAAGTGAACAGCCTCGCAAGAGAGCAGAGGGGGCGTTCCACAGACCTAAGGCCACTTCCCTGCTGACATACCACCCTTTCAGGACAAGTAGTTAAAACTGACATAATTGTGATTTATTAACATGAATTAAAATGCCCAACCAGTGCTGCAATGTGACAGTATATTAAAAAAAAATTAAAGATCATATACTGTACTACTTTCACAAAGATCACACTTTTTTTTGCAAAAGACTTATTATATACAATACTATATCAAATGAAAGAAGCTTTTAAGCAACTTTACAAGCGAAAGAAATACAGTATTTACAGCACTCGTCAGACATTAGAAACAGTCTATACATTAAATTACAATATCTGCAAATAACTGATGAAACAAAAAGCCATGTCCACACCAAAACTATAAAAATCTGTATTGCATTGGTTCCTATCTCTATGCACACAAAAAACTGTTGACAGAAGAAAATGGAAAAAAAAAAAGTTGTTAGTGCCATCACTTAGCCTGTGTACTTATTTAATTACATATGTATAAAAGTAATATAGAAAACTTTCACTAAATGAATTTAACTGCAACAATAAAATTTTAAACATTATGCAGCATCAAACCTACTGCCAGAAAAAACAGCTGGAATGTCCACTTACAAAATAAAAAGAAATACCTAATACTGGCTTAACAGCATATTTTCAGGAATTTTAAAAAGCAAAAAATGGAAAGGATACAATGGAAGAGCACTGGTGTTTGCTTTTATACAAAGTATCATGTACAAGCTTTAAAAAGTACCTTGAATAGGTACATATTAAATATACACAGTTTATATTACAGAACATTTTAAAAATGTTTATAACTAAAGGGATCTGTTTTAATGCCACCCTGACCCATGGTAATTGTTCTGAAAAGTGGGCGGCACCTGTGCTCTGTGGATGGGGATCTGTCCCGGCACCGGCGAGGCCTGCTGCTGCCCTTGCACTCCGTGGGGAAGGGTCACGGAGCCGGGGTGAGGGCAGAACCCGGAAGCAGTAGGTGTTGCAATACTGTTTGGTCCTTGAGGTTGGATGTGAGGACCCTGACCAGGGAGTGGGCAATGAGGTCCTGTGCCAGCAGGCTGATGTTGAGGTCCAGGTCCTAACGTCGTGTGATGTGGGGCTTGTGAGGAGTAGGAGGACACGCTCGTGTGAGCGTTTGAAGGGAAATGGGGGGGTCCTTGATGAGAGGGGTGGTGTAACCCTTGTGCTGATGCCGGGTGGTGGCCCGAGCCGATGACGTTGGAGGGAGGGGGCGGAGGGGGGGGAGGTGCCGAGTTTACAACATGCTGGTGTTGTGCTTGCAAACCTTGGTGTCCCGTTGAAGGATGGGGAGGTTGGTGGTGGGGAAGAGGACCTGGTGGCGGAGGAGGCGGTGGCAAATGGTGACCAGCAGCTTGAGAATGAATGTGCGATCCAGGAGCCACTGCCATGGCATGGACCGGACCGACAACATGTGCTACAGAGTGCTGCTGATGAGTACTTTGCTGCTGGACAAGGTGAGGCCCTGGAGCAGGTGGTGGTGGAGGCGGCGGCGGAGCGGCGGATGCCGATGCCTGGTGATGAATACTGGGGTTCTGAGACGGCAAAAAATGCCCTGCAGCTACGTGGTGTCCCGGCACTGTTTGCTGACCTGCAGTGCCAGGAAGTGCTTGATTTGGTCCAGATGAAAACACAGTCTGTTGGGGTATGCTGCCCTTCAGCTGGCTGTAGCTCTGGAAGTTTCCAGAGGGCTGCTGGCTTTGATAGTAAGTAGAAGAAGGGGGTGGAGGGGGTGGGGGAGGTGGTGCATTGCTGTTCAAATTTTGTTGGTTAAACTGGCTGTAAGAAGCTGAGGATTGTCCTGATGTTGTCTGAGTGAACAGGGGCCCGCTCGCCTGTGGCTGATTACTGGGCTGAAGGGTCGGTGCTGCTGGATAGAAGGTTCGGTGTGTTTCCCTCTGGGGTGTTCCAACTTGAGGTGACTGTGGATGATGAGGTCTGTATGGAGATCCCAACTGCTGTGAGTGAGGCTTTGGTGACAGATAACCGTGCTGCACAGGCGCATGAGGGGTAGAAGACTTGGGGGGATTTTCTACATGAGGCGAAGGGGGGCAATGCAGCTTCAAAGGTGCGGAAGGCAACTTCTGTGAATGTGAGAGTTGCTCAGCAGAACTGCGCAGATGTGACTGAGATGGATGATTCTTTGAAAGTGCTTGGACGTTGTTTGCCAGCTGTTTTTGTTGCAGCTCAGATTTTGGATGGTTCGCACATTCAGTCTCAGGTGCGTTAGCTGCACTTTCCCAGTGTGAATCTGGTTTTGTGGGTGTTTTCCCAAGTGACTGTGTTGAAACTACAGGATTCGGTGAAGAGGGCTGGAATGAAAAGAAAGTCAAGTCAGTGCTCAACATTTAAAATATTTAACCATGCATGCAGCAGCAGAGAGAAAAAAAGATCTCAGAATACCCTCCCCAATGGCAAAAAAGCGCATCAAGTTGCAGGATAAGAAAACATGGTGTAAGAAAAACATGAACAACAGAAAGATCAAGCATAGAAAGACATTATTTTTAGCAAGTATGTGTCAATAATTGTTCAAAGACCAGTAATTGTATTTTAACAGAAATATGACCCATCAGATCGAAGTCTAGATCTGTTCTGTGTTAAAAGTTTTGGATTTCTGAAATCTGAAATAAGTCATTCCAGAGAAGACCATTTACAAAAATAAAGCCATTTTTAGAGTGATTTAACTTTTTAAAGCTGAGGCAGTGCAAGCAAGCAGACTAAACATTAAAACCTGAATTACTTCACTTAATATGGCACAGGCAACTACTCAACATCCTCCTCTGTATTATCAGTGCCCTGACTGACAAACAGTGCCAAACGCTGGCATAACAAGGGCAACCTCCTGTTAAGGGTAAATCACATCCTTGCTGTTGGTTCTGAGTGCCAGTCCTTCAGCACTCACCCCTCAGAACACCACTGACAGAATCTCTTCTCTGTCTAAATGCAAAATCATCTCTAAATAGGTACAGATACTGAAGAAACAGCACACAAACCAACTTTTCAGTGTGTATGGATAAATATTCTTACAAGTGTTTACCTGTGTAAAATTACTGCACAGATAGATGAACATGTATGTATGTAACCTAAGTAGTAAACAAGAAAATTAACATTTTTAAAGATAAATCACAGATGTATATGGCTATTACTATGCTGACTGTGCAAACACTGTGCATTACCTTGCTTGCTTTTGATGGACTCTTACAAGTCCTTTGAGAAGTATCGGGGGACGGACATTCAGAAGTTGGCTCTGGATTTTCAGAATCAGGCTCTACAGAAATAAAGCAGAGATAAATGTCAAAGTGGGAAAA